ATAGTCAGCAACTCTAGTCTCTCTCCTTGAGTATCCAAAATCTAATGAGAAGCATCACCTCCTAAAGAACCGAGAGTACCATCTTGGCTGGTATCCGAAAGATTGACCAGCCGAGGACTCTCCCTTTCCTCTTGCCCTTAAGCTCTTCTTAGTTGTCTCGTCACATAAAGTAGCTCTTCCCTTCTCCATCTAATCAGAAGGTGAAGCAGGAATCCTCTAATCCTAGCAAACGCGAGTGATTAGTAAGGGATAGACTAGCTACATATTCTGCTTATTCTTCTTCTCAACCATCTCCCTAGCACTCAAAGCAACAGATGACATCTATACAAAATTAACATGTGCAGGATCAAATGACTGGCCCTTAGCAATCCAATATAAAAGGATGGCATCTCTAATTTATAAAGCAGTGTAAGTAGTACTAGGATAAAGATTAAACTTGAGAAAGAGCTTGAGAATAATATACTCAGGTTTCAGATAACCTGAGTTGAACACCAGAAAGGGATATATCTGTGAGGGACTCAGTCATGCGGGTGTAATCCTCAGAACCAACATGGATGTTCTCAGAAAATATAAATACATCATGGTATCCCCACATTGGTGGTGGTAGATAAAAAATCTTGTGGATGTAATCGGTAGTAATTGTAATTTAATGTTCTCTCACTACAGTCTTAGCCTCTGAAGATTCATAGGGCCAGTTGTAGTTCATATAGAACTCCCGAGCCAAGAGATATTGGCTTTTTCCCCTCCTTTGTCCTTCATAGAACCTAAACCAACTGCATCCAAAAGCTCTAGTATATTCCTACACTCTTGTAAATGTCTCTCATCTATCCCTCTCTCATATATGATATGCAGCTTCTACTACTTCTCACGCAACTATTGAGATGAATATTGTGAAGATCGAGCTATTTTGCTGAATGATATTCTCCACAAAGTCAAATAAACATGTATTAGTATAGATAATACAAATAAAATAGTTTAGAACCAAAAAATATTTTGAGTAAAAAGTGAAATAGGATCCAAAAACAACAGCTTTAGCCTATATACCATCGATAGTTTCCTAACACTTATCGATGGGTCATACACCATCAATGATGTTCTTCGACCATTGATGGTCTATGAACTGAAACCGAGCAGTTTTTACCCCAAATCATCTAAAACTAATACATAACTCAACAATCAATGATCTAAACTAGTCTAATACTTATTCAACATCCATCCACATAAGAAATACTATAAAAAAATAAGTAAAAACGGCAAGAAAAATCAAAATTGAAGATTTAGGGTCTAGAAAGTTACCTTTTTTATTTGATTTGATTCAAAAAGATGAAATTGATGATGATGATAATAGCAATCAAAAAGCAACAAAAACCACCACAAGATTAAAAAATTCAAAGATTTTTGGAGAGAAGAGATAAAAAGGATAAAAGTAAAAAGTAAAGAAAAATAAACTATCCTTTTAAATGTGCCCATCGATGATGGACCATCAATGGTGTCACCACGGCCATCGATGGTCCCTCTTTGTTTTATTTATTTAAGATGCAAAACTATAAATATATATAAAGTTAGGAAACTTACATGTATGAGAAGATAATATATAAAAATATATCAGACATATATCTTCTCATAACACAGACTAATGATTGGATTTGATAACCTGAATCTTTAAGCAACCATCGTGTATCGCCTCAATCCTCGGTCTACCTGCAAGTCTACATAAAGGCAGAAAATTATGACCTATCCACATAGGTCCATGTTGTTTAGCAATAAGGCTTCCGGTATCCAAATCTGTTTGACTATTTTAATCCTATATCTCATACAACAGCTCATTGAAACGTGTCCGATTCTTCCACATAAATAGCATATAGAATAATAAGTATTATTGGAAAAATGATCAAAAAGTCAAGATTATTACTATTAACAAAAGTAGGCTGAAACTTTTTATGCTTTTTCAGAATATAAATAATCAAGTTCAGTTTTAGTTTTTGCAAATCGTTGATTGGAAAGGACCGTGTTAAGATCTTTTGAACCCAAAGAAAATTTCTTCATGACCTTTTCCAAATCACTAATTTTGGACTTTAGTTATTCGTTTTCGAAATAATTGTTGTGCATTGAGTTTCAAACTTAATTGTTCAGATGATAAATCACAGAATAGCTCATCTATTTTAGCAACTAATTTTCCTTTTTCACAATAAATATTATCAAATTTTTTAGATGTATAGGAGATTTGATTTTATAATTCAAAACACTGCATGCACTCAAAAGAGGTTGAATCAATTAAATTCACATTTGAATAGGAAAATTCAACTTTTTTGATGAAAATTTATTTTCTTTCTTCATGTTTGTATTCATCTTTTTTAATTTCTTCATATTTTTGAGCTATATTTTTCAAATAAATTAACATCTCCTTATACTTAAAATAAAGCTCATCATAAGAAGAATATACCTCTCCATCTGAATACTCAACATCAGAACCACTTGAGTAACTCTAGTTTGTACCTAAAAACAATGCACCTCTCCATATAAGACACTTGTTCGCTTGTTTGTCATCTTGACTGGACTCATTTCTAGATTTATTCTCAATTGTCATATCCCAGTTTGTAACTTTGAGACTTTTACCTTCCTTCTTCTTTTTCTTTCTGTTCAAAGGGTATTGTTTCTTGTAATGACCTGGTTTTTTTACAACGATAACAGATGGGTTCAGTTTTAAATCACATGAGGAATTAATATTTACCTACTTCGTAAACTAATTCTGTCTTTTCTGAAAATATTTCTATCATTTCTTCGACTTAAGAAAACAGTTTAATCCTTTTGTAATAAGCACAGACTGATCGTCTTCATCTTCTGAACTCGAGTTGGAATCCATCTTCTTCTTTGATTGAGATTTCTCCTTCTTTGCTCGTAAGGCTAACGACTTCTTCTTTGAATCTTCTTCTAAGACATCTTCTCTCTTTTAGTCTGATTTTGTATGTGATAAGATTACCTACAAGATCATCAAAAGATAGATTAGAAAATTTTTGAAGTTCATGAATAGCTGTTACCTTTGTTTTCCCAATCACGAGATAGAGAACAAAGTACTTTTTTGCATTGTTCCTTATTATCGTACTTCTTCTCTAAAGCTTTAGACTTGTTCACAATATCAGTGAATCAGTTGAACATTTCCCATATGCTCTCCAAGGCCTTCATCTTAAAGTTCTCATATTTACTCACCAGCATTGTAAGCTTTGTTTTCTTTGCCTGCGAAGTTTCCTCATGAGTAGTTTACAGTGTCTTCCAAATTTTCTACGTGTTAGTACAATTAGAGACACAATTAAAATTTTTAGCAGTAAGAGAGAAATATAAAGCATTCATAGCTTTCAAATTATAATTTTTTTTTGTTGAGGAGTCCATTTATCCATAGCAATTTCAGTAATAACTCCTCCTATCTCCTCAGTAGGATTATAATACCCATGTTCGAGACACTGCCAAATAACAAATTTAGTAGATAATAAAAAAATTCATGTATGCTTTCTAAAAAGTATAATTGGTGCCGTCAAAAAGTGGGGGCAAGTGATGGCGTGTCCTTTAAGAAAGGCTGAAGTGATGATAAAGCTTGACATCTCTACCCGAAGTTGTGATACCTAAATATGGATAATGTGGCTCTGATATTACTTGTTAGAACTAGGATGCAAGCTTAGAGAGGGGTGAATATGATTGCTATAATTTTTCGACTAACTCAGAATAAGCAGCGGAAACATAATCTGCGAAAAACTAAAAGCAAACAAACACAGAAGTACATGAGATTTTTATAGCAGTTCGGATGAAGATTCTACGTCAACTCTTTCTTCTCGTGAAGGCCTTCCTTACTATGACCAAAGTTCACCAGAATCATAACTCGATTCAGTAGGCTTCAAAGACTCCACCATAGAATCTACCTGAAACTAGTTGTCTAAGTTAACTCTTCACAATAATCAAAAGAAACTTAGCCCTAACTAACCACACCCTCAATTGACCTGGCTTGAGTACGCCAACCCTCAATTACTCCAACTTGAGTACGTTATCAAACTTACAAGTTTAAAACATAAAACCAACCCAAAACAATCCAAGCACAACTAGAACAAACCTTACGTCCCTTTAAACAAACTAATGACGATGAAGATTCATGAAGAATCGATGCTGAAGTCACTTCTTCTTGCTGAAATTACCCTTCGATGATGAGCGTACTGAGAAGAAGTTGAATGAGGCTCCAGGGATTGAATTCTCAAATCAAACTCTCTCACAAACACTAGAATAAGATCTCTTTTTATGTAGTTGCCTCTTTCTCTTCTTGTTGTCCTTTTTTTTTTTAATATGATCTCCAACTCCTCGTAAACCTTGATAGAATAGGATGGAGATACCCTAATCAGAATCAATATAGGAGATCAAAGATATTGATGAACGACTAACATTAAATCTAAAAATCTGCCAAAACGTGTCGCAGCCATCGATGGTGGGTCACGATCATTGATGGTTCATTGATGATCATTGATAGTTGACTGTAGTCCATTAATTATGCAAATTTTGGTTTATGAATTTATGTGATTTTTGATTGTAGTCCATCGATGGTCCTTTCGATCATAGATGGTCGACTGTAGACCATCGATGATCCAATTTCTGGTTTCTGTTTCTCCAATTCTTTTCTATAATTCATCAATGACTTGACTTGACCATCGACGGTGCCTCGTGACCATCGATGGTTCAAAAGCTGAAATCAATGTTCGTGTTGACTTTTACATCATTTTGAACCATAACTTATTTGTACATGTTTACACCTAAAATATATTATCTCACAAACATATCAATAGCAAATGAGAGTTTGTTATTAATCAAACAAGAGATGTTATACGACAACGTTCTAACACTTTCCACTTCTGAAGTAAGTGTATTACTTTTTTTTCTTGGCTATATATTTCTTGATCATGTGTGTTTATTTTAGCAATGTGTAACAATTACATGCACAAACAATGGTTTTTTTAACTCTGCAGGTCATCAGACTGCAAGAGGAGTTTTTTCTTCCTGGTGAAGTGGTTATGGGACAAGGCGATGCAGTAGATCAAGTTTATTTCATCTGCCATGGTGTTCTGGTATTGTTTCAATATCTCATTATTTCTATATTTCTAGGCCTCGGAGAATAATTACCTTACGGCCTCGGAGAATAATTAACTTATGTATACAAACATCATGCATATACGTATGCGTGGACACTACTAGATAAGTAAATACATGCCTTAAGGAACTGGCTTTGAACTTTCAGCTGGTTGACAATTTGATTTGCCAGTTTCTTATATGGTTTTTAGTATAATATTTCTCCATTTTAGGCCTGTTTGGATGATTAAGGAGCAAATAGCTAGATCTTGTTGCAGTTAAAATTCTAAATGTTTTCTCATGGTTAAGCTAAATGTCATCATTATTATTTTTTCATTCCGTGAGATGCATCAATTTTTCATTGTAGGAAGCTGTTGGGACTGCTGAAGATGGAACTGAGGAAACTGTAACAAAGTTGGAATCTAATCACTCATTCGGAGACATTGCTATCTTATGCAACATTCCTCAGCCCTATACTATACGTGTTTGTGAACTCTGCAGGCTCTTACGAATAGATAAGCAACTCTTCTCCAATATCCTACAAATATACTTTGTGGATGGACGAACAGTTCTAAACAACCTTCTAGAGGTATATTGTATATAAACTTCACTTTTTAATATCATGTTGATTAATTCTTATTTACATGATTTCTTTGATTTATCTCAGGGTGATGAATCCGATACTCGTGTCAAGCAACTTGAGTCTGATATCATATTCCATGTCGCTAAGCAAGAAGCCGAGCTTGCATTAAGAGTAAATAGTGCTGCTTTTCATGGAGATTTTGGTCACCTAAAAGGTCTGATTCGTGCTGGGGCTGACCCCAAAAAGACTGATTATGATGGGCGCACTCCTTTGGTATGATTCTGATAGAATACAGCTATGAATTGCGCTTTGTTAGTTTAATCATATTCCACTATATTGTTCAAAGAATATCATATACTTAAAGGCACATTCCCTCCTAATTATCGTATAGATTGTTGGATTTTTTTGTCAAAACCGCTTTCCAAAATGAGTTTTCAATATATATATATATATATATATATATATATATATATATATATAATATATATATTATATGTGTGGTGTGTGTGTGTGTGTGTGTGTTGGGGAGAAACGGCCCTATGACCGAGATCCACGCAATAGCCGAAAGAATAACAGTCCAGACACACCAACAAGAGCACAAACACAATCAATGACACCTGGCTGATTTTAACGTGTTCGGCGAGATGGCCACGTCGCACGGGGCAAGGAGGGGGAGTTTTCACTATAGAAATCATGGGATACAACTAGGGTTAACAAATGCTACCTCATAAAACCCGTGCAATCAAATGCAACCTCACGCACATTGCTCCTAGAATAGAAGCCCAAAGAAAACCCTTTCAAGCTCCAACAGCTTAGCCCGTTACAAAAACGCCAGAATAGAGTTTGAGTATTATAGAAAACCCAAACGAAACGGGTCTGGAAACCAGACGGCCAGCCCAAAACCGGCTTCGGCGGTCGACGCGCGACGGTCCGACCGCGATCCATCGCGGTACGACCGCCACGGTCGACCGCCCACAATCCTAGAACTAGGCAGTACGAGTCCAGAAACTCCTTGCGTGGCGACCGGCGGCATCGACCGCGTGTCCGAAAACAGAAACTTATGGTGGTCGAACGCGCCGCGGGTCCAAACGCCCAGAGCCTCCTGTGCACGAACGCGGTCGACCGCAGCGGTCGACCGCCAATCTGTCTGCTTCCATAACTGCTTCTTCCTGCCATTTCTACAAATCTCCACCTCGGCGAAGATTCTTCCAAACTGAGCCGACACCAACCAAACAAATGCCTCACTTATTGCATCCAGTACGCCATGGCAACGGACTCATGACAACGGACCCCATCCACAACATCTCGAGACCCAAACGGGAGTGCGAACACTCACCCCAAAACAACTTGTCTACTCACCAAATCGGCTACATCATAACTGACTGCCTACGTATCCTCTCCAAGGAATCAAGCCTTCACGTAGTTCACCCAATGGCCTCCAAAGGCCCTTAATGCAAAAGAAGAGTCTTCAACTCTTCACCAATACCAACATCCAATGCGCGACTGATAGCATCACCAACGGCCCCATACTGAAATGATCCAAACACCTCCACCTGAGGTGAACCAATGGCCATATCCAAGCTATATCCACCAGCTGCACACGGATCTACCAACTCGTCATCTGCATCCTGAACAATCTGATCCCCAAACTGTGTCACCTCAGCCGGAATCCCATCTAATGCAAAATGACCTAGAGTATGTGGAATAAGCTCCACCCGATGTGGAGTAGCATCACTCTCCACCCATTACGGTATCCCTCTGATCTGATCAATACTCTCTACCTGCAAAGAGTCCAAAGTGACAAACCTTCCCAGACCAAAATCAGAAGCTCCCAACTGATAGCCGAATGAACTCCTGAATCCCAAATGCGCAATCGGATCCAATCTCACATCAACGATGTGACCAAGTGCTGGGTAGCCAAATATCCGACGCCGACCAAAATCTGAAGCAGCTCCATCAGATCTAACAACTCTACACGCAGCAGTCGGTAACCTCATAAGATAGCCCAATCGTGTCGAAGCCCGAATACCAAATCCACTGCTCGACAACCAACGTCGATCCTCCTCAAGAAAAGAACGGACCACTAAATCATCCATCTCATCACGTCACCCCACTGTCTCCTCCCCTCTGAAGTGTCTCCAACTACCATGAGCTCGGCACCAATGCAAGAAAGAACCCCTACTAGAACTAGTACGACGGGTAACCTTTCTGTCAATACACCTCCTCCAACTGTTGCGGACTACTAGGGATTCATACCAACGGGACTTGGTTGCAACCCATAAATGCCTAGTACAATCCCCAACATAGGAAACAAAATAACGATTACCTCCTAATGATGCATACATGGAAGGCCCCCCAATGCCTGACTGAACACCTCCAATAAGACCCCTCGATCGGTGGATAGAAGTGCTGAACTCCACCTCGGTCTTCTCGCTCATCCCAATGTGCTCACAGGACTTCAATCTGTAGGTCATAGCACTCCTCAACAATCTGTGCACGGCATAACCAATAATATATCCCAGCACCAAACAATGCCACAGTCTAGCCAAAGAAGTCGTCAGCGCTCTATCAATCACCGTGCTCCCAAGCAGATAATATAAGTTACTCCTCCTGACGCCCTTCATCACAATCATGGACCCCAATGTAACCTTCAAGCGAGAATCCGCCAAGGTCACCCTATAGCCTGCTGCCTCCAATACCCCAAGTGAAATAATGTTCTTCCTCGGCTGAGGAACGACCTCACATCAACCAACTCCCGAATCATGCCATCACTCGTCCGAATCTGAACGGTACCAATACCACTAATAGGGCATCTATGATCATTACCCATAAGAACAACATCCCCTCTTTTCAACTCCTGAAAGCTGGAGAACCAATCCCTCATAGGGTATATGTGGTAAGTAGCACCTGAATACAACATCCACTCGGTGGAGTCAGCAACACCAACTGACGGAAGAGCTGGGCACAAATAGCCTGAAGAATCTAAATCAGAAACGTCACCACTAGCATTGGCAACATTCACCTCTGAAGCTTGAATAGCTTTTCCCTTATTCTTCCCGGCTAGCAATTTTGGACATTCGGCTTTCCAATGTTCATCCTCTCTACAAAAGGCACACTGATTCCTACCAACTGCAGGATGCCCCCCTCTAGACTACGACCTCCTATCACGGTTTGGACTTCTAGCTCTTGCAACCAATGCCCCCGCAATCGGCTCAATGGAAGTCTCCTTGTCCTTCTTACGAAGTTGATAATTCACAAGAGCTGCGGTGACCTCACTATACGAAAGAGATGCCTTCCCATTAATAAGAGTGAGGACGAATGTCTCATATTCCTCGTCGGGCAAGGAACTCAATAACAACAATGCTTTGTCCTCATCTTCAACAATGACATCTACATTCGCTAAATCTGCAAGTAGCTTCGTGTAGTGGTTCATGTGATCACTAATGGATGTCCCATTCTTCAATTGGAAGCGATAATGCCTCCTCTTCAAATGCAAACGATTTTCGACGCTTTTCGTCAAATATTTGCCCTCTAGGACCTCCCAAATCTTCTTTGCCGAAGTCTCATTCATCACATCATATTTTAGATCTTGAGTAAGACAAGACCTAATCACATCACACGCCGTTCTATTCATTTTATTCCAAACCTTTTCATCAATGTCGGCCGGTTTCCCGTCCAACTCTAACGTATCTTCCAGATTTTGCGCATTTAGCGCATCCACGACTTCACATTGCCAAAGTCCAAAATTATTTGTGCTGTTGAACTTTTCCACATCTATTTTTATAGAATGTATATTCAAACTTTAGACGGCCTTCACCCTAGAAGAACCCTCCCCACTTTTATCTTTTTCGGCCATATATCTCAAAGCACCCAAACTATTGCGGAACACTTTTATCTTTTTCGGCCATATATCTCAAAGCACCCAAACTATTGCGGAACAAACAAGAAATAGATCCAACTTGAAAAAGATTCAAAGCACCCAAACTATTGCGGAACAAACAAGAAATAGATCCAACTTGAAAAAGATAGAAACTTTACCATAAAGATTCCATCTTTATCACCAATCGAAACTCTAGATGAACTTCCTAACTGATCTACACCTCCAAAAAAGCCTAAACATTTCCCGAAGCTCTGATACCAATTGTTAGGGAGAAACCCCTATGCCGAGATCTAACCAAATAGCCGAAAGAGATAAACCAACACACCAACAAGAACACAAACACAATCAACACCAGATTTTACGTGGTTCGGCGAGATGCCTACGTCCACGGGGCAAAGAGGGGGGGAGTTTTCACTATTAGAAATCAAAGGGATACAACTAGGGTTACAAATCTCTCATAAACCCTCAACAAATCAACTCTTGATCTCACCAATTGCTCCTAGAATAGAAGCCCAAAGAAAACTCCTTTCAACAGCTCAAAACACTTGCCTTACAAACCCCAGAATCGAGTTTGGGTATTTATAGAAAACCCAAACGAAACGGGTCTGAAAAACAGACCCAGCCCAAAACCGCTTCGGCGGTCGACCGCCCACAATCCCAGAATAGCAGTAGAGTCCAGAAACTCCTGCGGTCGACCGCGACAGTCGACCGCCACGAAAACAGAAACTTCTACGGTCAACCGTCGCGGTCGACCGCCACTAATCCAGACGCACAGTGCCATCTGTGCACGAACGCGGTCGACCGCCAATCTGTCACCGCTAATCTGTTCTGCTTCCGAAACTGCTTCTGAGCTCCATCTCTAACATATATAATATATATATAGTATATACTAATATAGTATATAATATATATATATATTATATATATATATATAATATGATATAGTATATATAATATAATATAATATATATATATAATATATATATAATATATATATATATATATGTAAGACTCCTATAACGTTAACCTGCATATCCACAAACTTCCTAGCTCACCATTTATTAATATCAAAAATATTATCAATTCATGCAAAGACCCTAGACAATATGAAGTGACTAAAAGGTTTGTGTGATAACTTTTGCTACCACTCTTAAGTGACACAAGTTATTGCATACATATATATGCCGGAAAAAGTGTTCCTAAGGTGACGCTTATATATAAGGCAATCCACACTTAGAAATACTTTTCCGCATATATATATATATATATCATATAATATAATATATAATATCATATATATATATATATTATAATATATATATATATATCATATCTATATATATTATATATATATATAATATGAGATTAATGAGGTATCCTTGTCCATAGGAGAGAAGATTTCCTCAATGACCCTCTAAAATTACATGATTGAGCGATATTATGGTGATCGGCTCCGTTGAACTTAACTACTACATCATTCTAAAACCCCAACACACCAAGTTTTGGGGCTTAATCCGTCGCGTTTGACTCCTCCATCGAGCCATGTGAAAGTTCCTATTGCATTCAAAACTGTTAAAATTGATATGAGTGGATAAGGATCAAACGACGATGGGATTTCACCCAAACTTGGTGTGTTGGGGTTATAGAATATGTAGATCACAAGTTCAAACGGAGCGATCACTCCTAATGTCGCTCAATCATGTGTTTTAGAGGCGTCATAGGAGGAAACTCCCTCTATGACAAGGATACCCATTAATACCTCTCTCTGCTCTCTCGTCTCTCTCTCTCTATAACTATATATACGTATATATATATATATATTAATTATATATATAATATATATATATATGATATATATAAATCTAACACACACACACACAATATATATATTAACTACAATTACTCTTCATAATGTAGCTAGCGCTTAGCGAAAATAAAAGTTGTAGATGTTTTAAAGGTACCATCTGTATCCGAGGCTTGCCAACGCAAGCCTACCAAGTGTTTTATTTTAATTAATCCCTCAAAAGTTATAGTGGGTCGTGGGCCATGGGGCAATAGGCCGGGGTTCGGGGCTAATCGGGCTGAGGCGTTAAGTGACGCTTTGTTAGGCGCACTTTGTACTTCGCACGGAGGATATGATCCTAGCGTTCTCGAGATCAGATGATGCTCCTCTGTTTGACGAGGTTCACTCGTTTGATGAGGTTCGCTCGTTCGACGATGTTCGTTCGTTCGACGAGGTTCGACTGTTTGACAAGGTTCGCCCGTTCGACGAGGTTCGCTCGTTCGTCGAGGTTCGCCCGTTCGTTGAGGTTCGCCCGTTCGACGAGGTTCGTCCTACAGACGATGTTCGCCTGATTTGCTGAGACGTGACCCTTGCGTTTTGTAGTAACGCGTCCATTAATTGTCTCGTATTTAGGAGTTAATGCACGCAGCAGTTACGATAGTATTTACATCAATTTAATGGATTGTTATTACAATCATAATTTCTATTATGATTTGTAACAGCCACATTAATTGAGGGTGACTCTTGAGCTGGTGCCCCTTGGGCAGCTCTTTGAGAGGACTTAAAAAACGAACGTCAGGTCGAGGAGATCTTGACGTTGTTGCTGCTGCTGCAGAAACTGTGCCCGAAGGAACTTGTCCTGAAACCGAAAGGTTTTGAACCGAAAGGTTCTGAGATCGAGGAGATCTTTGCATTGACCGCAAGGTCTTATAGATCGAGGAGATCTTGACAGTACTGGGTTGGTGCACACCAGAGTACTGTACTGCTATTCCTGGAAGCAGTTTGGCCTTGGGATCATTGCACCGGAGTAGGCCAAGTATTACTTTAAGCACAGCGTTTCACAAACGCACAACAGTTTACTTGAAAAAGTTTAAAATTACATCACATCAACTTTTACTGTTTTATTCCAGATTTAACCATAATCTCCAACATAGATTTCGGTCCCTATGGTTCAATAATAGGCCATTTTGTAGATTTCGGTCCCCATGGTTCAATAATAGGCCATTTTGCAACTCCTGTATGAATCATTTATTATCTGGAAGCATTCTTTTGGAGACCAGAAGAATGAATTTTGGACCTATCTTCTGTGAAAATCTGAAAATGTTTACTGCATCAGTTTCATTGAGTAGTCCTTGCATATATCATCCTAGCAGTCAGAAATTTTTTGCAGTTAAAAGAGAAAAGTTAAAAGATAAAGACCTTCCTTCCTTCCTCATTCCTACGCGAACACTTTGTTCTTCATTACTTCCGTTGATGCTTGAGATTTGTCATATGCATTATCTAAAGGTTCCTCTCTTTTTTAACTAGTAGTCGTCTTGACCTGAAAATTATTGTTAGTTTCAGCGTGTTCCTTTTCATGATTGTTACTAATCATTTATTTATCTGCTTGATTTCCGAGTATGCAAATTTTAAACCATGCATGCATGACTTTCACATCCAACACTTACAATTGATCTCCCACAGCATTCACAGTTGCGAGATATCAAAAAATCTAAAAATTCTTGTAGAGTGCTTAAACATATAGTTGAAGGCACTCTAAATGTTTAAGATTGATTTAGACCCAAACTTGGATAAACTGAAGACAAAGTGCATAAAGATGACCTCAATCTTGCCGCCTAACTGGGCTCTTATTTCTCATTTCAGCACCTAGCAGCATCAGGAGGATACGAAGATATCACTTTATTTCTTGTTCAACAAAATGTGGATGTTAACATTTCAGGTACTATCTTTTGATACTTCAAGTGGAACTCCCCTCGGATATATGATCATCCATTTCTAATGTTATGATGTTGCATTCATATTGATACATATGCTTGTTTTGATTAGATAAATCTGGGAACACAGCATTAATAGAGGCTATAAAAAATGGGCATGACAAAGTGGCTACCATACTCTTCGAAAATGGAGCAAAGTTAAACCTTAGTGATCCCGGTAGCCAACTTTGTGCTGCGGTTTCAAAGGGGGACTCAGATTTTCTGAGGAGAGTTTTATCTTACGGCGTTGATCCAAATTCAAAAGATTATGATAACCGGACACCTCTCCATATTGCTGCTGCAGAGGGTATGTTTTTTACAGCAAAACTTCTTTTAGAGAATGGAGCGAATGTTTTTGCCAAGGCCAGGTAAGATATCGAATTCTCATCGACTAATGTTTTTATTAACATCAACATACAAACCGATATTTTGGTAGCTACTCCATGTGCCAGTGTATAAAAATTATTTATGATGTTGGCTTGTTCTTGATTATCATTTGAAAAATTACAGATGGGGTACTACACCATTAGATGAAGCACGAAGAAGTGGAAGCAGGCCCTTGATAAGGCTGATGGAAGAAGCTAAATCTAAAGAGCTTTCCGAATTTCTTGGAAAACAAGATCAACAAATCCAAGGTATGTCGGCACGTTGTTCTTATTCTTTCTTTACGAGGGAAATTGTAGTTATATATCTTAATTGATTAGTGGTTCATTTTCAATAATGACGCTCCCACGACTACTCATACAAAGTCAACAATCACAAAAATATAGGCCCCCTGAGGAATAAACGAAAATAATAGAAATATAGATCAACAAGCAAAGAATAAAAACAAACATCGATCCCAATCCAAAAGAAAGTATTACAAGGATAAAGCACAGAAATTGACTGGCATACACTTCATGAAGCACCAGAAAATCAATATCGCAGGAATACCAACACGTCTCCCATAGCTACAACATGATATCATCAACACACAAAAGTGAGGATATAAATAAATATCCACACTTGCAACATCAATCAACTGCAAAATAACAAAAAAATACACAGAGGCCCTAATATAATCACCAACCCCACAAGTCCGAGCTCAGGTTTGATTCATATGCTAAATTCCCTGAGGGTATTAAGATAAGTTCTCTGTAGAAGATCAGGATATGATTTAAGTCAAGGCTGAAAGTAATCAAGAACGTATAAGAAAACTGTACGCAAAGTGAGACATCGTTATAAGTGAAATGTGAGATCTTATTCTTAGCAGTATACTGATAATTCTCCTTTCAAATGAGCAGATAAAAGGAAACCACGGAGATGCACGGTGTTTCCCTTCCATCCTTGGGGCCCCGAGGAAAAGAAAAGATCTGGCATTGTACTAAGAGTTCCAGAGACGATAGATGTTCTAATTCAATCTGCTCAAGAGAAGCTTGAATTCTCTGGTACATTCATTCTTTCGGAAGATGGAGGCAGGATATTTGATGCGGATATGATTTCTGATGATCAGAAACTTTACTTAGTTACCGATAAAGATACTACAGTATAGTTTATACAAAGATCCTAATTTTACACGTCATTTACAATAATCTGCATCTACATCTACCTCTACATGTATGGATACAAAAGCATACCTTTGCACGTAAGAAGCTCGTGCACATTGTAAATAAACTTATGGGAGTGCAAATAAAAATAAAATAAAAGGTATTTTCTCTGTACTACAGTATCAGTAAACTTCATGGTTCCCACCATTGTGCATTTATTTTCCTAAATTATTTTTTCAACAGAAGTTTCATGGTATGAAACAAACAAAACTGTGTGTCTCTAATGGAGTCAACGTTGTGCACGGAATGTGTGAATAATGATGTTGGGGATTCGAAACAATCAAATCGAACTCTTGCCCTTCCAGACCTTGTGTTTGAGAATAGGAAAGTAAGAAAAATCACAACAAATAAAAGATAAAAACTTGCAGGAAAGTAAACAAGAAAGAACACACCAAATTTAACTAGGTTTGGCAATCGTGCCTACGTCCTCGAGAGCCACACCACACAATTATTTGATTAATATTGAAGAATATTATATAAGATCTAATCTCTCTGAGATCTCTCTGAAGGATTCTCTCAAAACCCTCTTTTTTGATGTATAATCTCTTCTAAGGCGTTCCATATATATAGAAAACCTAAAACTAAAACAAACTAGAAATTCTAAAACCAAAAAACAAAATAGATTAGGAATCCTAATAACCTGTTATCAAAACAGATTAAAAATTTTGTTACCAAAACAGATTAAGAATCTTGTTATCAAAACAGATTAGGAAACCTGCTATCCAACAATTTATTTGATTCCAGCTTTGAGTCTACACCCCTTAGACTAACAATCTCTCACTTGGGGACCAAAACACAATCAACGAGCTCACCCGAACTCTCCCTTATCCCAAGCATCCTCCTACACGGAAAAAATCCATTCTTCAATCATCATCAACCCGGGGATCCACCGATCCTCCTGGAATGGCTCCGCCTTCATCTCCTATACGTGAAGGCCAACTAAAGTTACACATAACTCAAGTTTATCAATGGTCACTGCTTTCATCAACATATCCGCAGGATTTTGACTCCTAAAATCTTCCCTAGATATAATTTTTCGTTCTCAATTAGCGAGCGTATAAAATAGTATCGTACGTCGATGTGCTTTGTTCTAACATGATATACTGGATTCTTGGTAAGATGTATAGCGCTCTGGCTATCACAATAAAGAACTCCTCTCCCTTACTTCAGATTCAACTCTTTCAGGCACCTGTTCAACCAAATCATCTACTTGCTTGCTTTAGTCACTGCGACATACTCAGCTTCAGTTATAGACAAAGTTACAATCTTCTACAGATATGAAACTCAACTCATTGCTGTCGACGCTAAGGTATAAACATATCCCGTGGTGCTCCGTCTCGTATCATGATCACCGGCGAAGTCTGCATCTACGTATCCCTACAGTACCAACTCCTTCCTCCTGAAACATAGTGGCTTGTACGTAGTCCCTCTCAAGTGGCACAATATCCACTTCACAGCCTCTCAATACTGCTTTCCTGGATTACTTACAAACCTGCTAACAACTCTCACTGCATGGGCAATGTCCGGCCTCGTGCAAACCATCGCGTATATGAGACTCCTAATGGTCGAAGAATATGGCACCCTACTCATATGCTCTCTATTTGTATCTGTCTTAGGCGATTGCTCTTCAGATAACTTGAATTGGCTTCCAAGGGGCGTGCTAACAATATTAGCATTCTGCATGTTGAACCTCTGAAGTACGTTCTCGATGTATTCAGCTTGACTCAACCTCAACGTCTCTTTAGCTTTATCTCTACTGATTCGCATCCCTAGAATCAGCTTCGCTTCACCCAGATCCTTCATAGCAAACTTCTTTTCCAACTGCTACTTCAAGTTATTTATCTCCTCTAAATTCGGTCTTACAACTAACATATCATCAACATACAATAACAATCTGATAAAACTGGACTCGAACTTCTTAAAGTAGCAACAATGATCTGAATTACATCTTCTGTATCCATTGTTGTGTATGAAGTTATTAAACTTTTTGTACTACTGTCTCAAGGCCTGTTTCAATCCGTACAAGCTCTTCTTGAGCTTACACATCATCTTTTCCTTTCCTTCTTTAATAAAACCAACATGTTGCTTTATGTAGATTTTTTCTTCCAAGTCACCACAAAGAAAGACAGTCTTCACATCTAACTGTTCAATGTAGAGATCTTCTGCACCTACTGAGGTCAACACCATTCTGATGACGGTGAGCTTCACAACGGAGGAAAATATCTCCGTATAGTCCACTCATTCCCGCTATTGGAACCCCTTCACGAGTAATCTGGCATTGTATCTCTTTCTTCTATTACTCTCCTATTTGACCTGATAGACCCATTCGTTATGCAAGACTTTTTTCTGTGCAGGTAGCTGGACTAACTCCTATGTCTCATTAGTGTGTAAAGAAGCCATCTCATCTTGCATTGCATACTCCCACTGCTGAGAATCACTCACTTACATAGCCTCCTCATAGCACTCCGGTTCTTCACTATCTGTCAAAAGCAAATAATCAAGTGATGAGAGATATTTAGGATTCGGTTTTGGGTACCCTAGATGACGTTCTAAGCTCCATGCCCTGGGTAGTCGTCTCTACACCTAGAGCCTCCTCCGTTTTTTAGTTCAGAATTGACTTTATCTCCCTCATCTGGAAGTTCCTCCAAATCCATGTACTCGGATCCACCTCTATCCGTAGTACTGCTCTCACTGCTTTGGCTATCATTGGTACTATCCATGTTCTTGTACATCACCTCCTTATTGAATATCACATCCCTGCTTCTGATGATCTTTTTGTTCTTCTCATGCCAAAGACGATACCCGAACTCATTAATATCGTATCCAATTAATGTGCACTTTTGTGGCTTAGCCTCTAGCTTGTCCCTGACATGGTCACTGATATGAACATATGCCACACAACCGAATACTCACAAATATAAGAGATTAATCTTCTTACCACTCTAAACCTCCTCTGGAATCCCGTAATCCAATAGAACTGATGGCCCATGTTTAATCAAGTAAGCTGCCGTATGCACCGTATCTGTCCAAAATATCTTAGGCAGACCTGCATGTAATCGCATGCTCCTGGCACGTTCTGTTAATATCATGTTCGTCCTCTCTGCAATGTCATTTTGTTGCAGCGTCCCTGGAGTATTCCTCTCCAACCGAATTCCATTTAGAGCACTGAACCTCTTGAACTCCTCCAGCTCGTATTCTCCACCGTTGTCTGATCTAAGACACTTCATCTTTAGATCTGTCTCGTTCTCCACCATAGCCTTCCACTTCTTGAAGATCCTGAACACCTCTGACTTGTGCTTCATGAAGTATATCCACACCTTCCTCGAGTGATCGTCGATGAAGGTGGCATAATACGCCAAACTGCCAAGAGAAGACATACTAGATGGACTCCATACATCAGTATTAACTAACTCTAGCTTCTGAGCTTTAGGTGGCCTTCCACCCTTCTGGAAACTAACTCTCTTCTGCTTCCCAAAGATGCAGTCCTCGCAAACACCGACTTTCATGGAATCGATACATGTTAGCTTTCCCTGTGAATGTAGAATCTTCATCTCCTTCTGGCTTATATGTCCCAATCTATTGTGCCATAAATCTGTACTCTCTTTGCCAGCTACAATTGCGAGGGTGTCACTTGCATATGAGGTGAGGTAGAGAGTTCCTGTTTTGTTGCCTTAGGTAACAACCATAGTACCATTTAAGATCCTCCAAGAATCCTTGATGAATATCAAAACATAGCCTTCTGTTCTAAGCTAGCCAACCGAAATAAGATTCCTCTTTAGTTTCTGTACGTGCCTCACGTTCTTCAGATTCCATTTGGATCCCTTCAACTGTATTTGCACATCTCCTCTTCCAATAACACTACATAGTTTATTATTCTCCAAGTATACTTTTCTAAAGTCCCCTGCTATATAGTTATGAAGAAGCTTCCTATTAGCAGTGGCGTGGAACGAGGCTCTTACGTCGATGACTTAGGAATCAGAATCGTTGTCTATAGCTAGGATTAAGGCATCTTGCACGATATGAGCCTCTTGTTCATTCGCATCCTTCTTTTGTGCTTTACAAGATGAAGACATATGGCCCTCCTAGCCGCAGTTCCAATACTTTTCTTTGATAGACCTAACTTTCGAGTTTGACCTCTTCTTGTTTGACTTTGACCGATTTCTGTTCTGATTTCCCTTCTTCTAGCTTCTGCCTCTTTGCTCAAAATTTAGGGATGAACCTGAACCTTCTGATTCAGATGATTTCCTTCTAACCTCAGATATAATCATGCTAATAACCTCACTCAGCTTCAACTTGTCCTTCCGGCCAAATTGCTGATTGCCGTCACACAACTTGCCCAACTATCCGGTAACTACGATGAAATCAATAGGGCCTGCACTTCATCATCGAATGTGATGTCTACGGAGATGAGTTGATCAACAATCATGTTGAACTTGCTGAGGTACATTGTGAAGGAGCGTCATTCTACTTTCTTGAGATTGAAGAGTGTTTTGACGAGATGCACCTTGTTTGCGACAAACGGTTGCTCGTACAACGTCGCGAGCGCTTCCATAAACCCCACCGTCGTCTTCTCATTCAATATGTTGTGTGTGACTGTCTTGACGAGTGACAACCGGATTTGCCCTACAGCCTTCTGAAAGAACCCTAGAGGGGGGTGAATAGGGTTATTGCTAATCTTATTAGATATTAATGCTGATTAAAACTTTCTTCATTAATTAATTCTTGCAAAGGATATATGAGTGAGTTATGGGCAAGAATATAAATTACAAGCATAAAATAAATGTACACAAAGCAAACTCAAACACAAGATATGGTCACGGAGTTCGGTCTCCACGACCTACGTCTCTACTCCTCACCTCGAGGAGTTCTCCACTATCTCAACACACCCGGTTTGAAAGCCAGAAATTCTCTACACACTCGGTTTTCTAGCTCACCGAAAAACTCTATAAGTCTCTCACAATATACATACACAAACTATAACCTCAAGTGTTGGTCCTCACGTATCTCTT